GTCACTAAGGTCCCATTACCGGGTCACAAGACGCTTATCACTGGGTCGTGAGGTCACTAAGGTCCCATTACCGGGTCACAAGACGCTTATCACTGGGTCGTGAGGTCACTAAGGTCCCATTACCGGGTCACAAGACGCTTATCACTGGGTCGTGAGGTCACTAAGGTCCCATTACCGGGTCACAAGACGCTTATCACTGGGTCGTGAGGTCACTAAGGTCCCATTACCGGGTCACAAGACGCTTATCACTGGGTCGTGAGGTCACTAAGGTCCCATTACCGGGTCACAAGACGCTTATCACTGGGTCGTGAGGTCACTAAGGTCCCATTACCGGGTCACAAGACGCTTATCACTGGGTCGTGAGGTCACTAAGGTCCCATTACCGGGTCACAAGACGCTTATCACTGGGTCGTGAGGTCACTAAGGTCCCATTACCGGGTCACAAGACGCTTATCACTGGGTCGTGAGGTCACTAAGGTCCCATTACCGGGTCACAAGACGCTTATCACTGGGTCGTGAGGTCACTAAGGTCACAAATATCTGTCACCTTTCTGGTGTGTTTTGTCACTATAACTTTGCCATCTATATAAATATCACTGCATTGATGTACTAATTGTCGAAAGGCGGGACTTAGGAGCAGATGCTCAACCCTACAACCTCAACTAGATGAGCACAACTGTAGGTGAGTACAACAGGGTGAATACAGCTATGAGAGTATACCAAGGTGAGTACAACTTGGTACTCACCTAGTTGTGCTTGCGGGGGTTGAACTCTGGCTCTTTAGTCCCGCCTCTCAACCGTCAATCAACTGGTGTACAGGTTCCTGAGCCTATTGGGCTCTATCATATCTACATTTAAAACTGTGTATGGAGTCAGCCTCCACCACATCACTGCTTAATGCATTCCATCTGTTAACTACTCTGACACTGAAAAAGTTCCTTTTAACGTCTCTGTGGCTCATGTGGGTACTCAGTTTCCACCTGTGTCCCCTTGTTCGTGTACCACCCGTGTAAGTGCATACAACTAGGTAAGTACAACTAGGTGAGTAAAACTAGGTGAGTACAGCTAGTTAACTACACTGGCGCTCCTTGTAGTCATTCATGTTCTAAGTTTTCGACCTCTTATTCATTTTGGATGAAGATCAGATGCAGTAGACTCGGTTAAGACGTTCATCTCCTGAACTTTCACTAACTTTGCTCACCATGTTTCTTCTCCGCCATGGGGGGCGGGGGAGGTTCTCTTTCTAATCTCTCTCTCACATTGATTTAGATCGACAATAATTAGTTCAGTTCTCCTTCCTTGTGCTGCTGTTGCTGCCTTTTGCTGCTTATCTTCGCATTCTTTGTGACCTCATATTCCTGTCTGAGTCTTTTGATACTTGCTTCGCTGTTGAATAGGACCACGACCACTGTCTAATTTTTATTCGGTGTCACAGCAGTCTGTCCGCCTGCGCGTTCCCAACCTCACCAAACTCTTATAATAAAGTGCCCGAACCTAACTAACCCGAGGACCCATCAGCAGAAAACGGGACATCACATCAATTTCTCGAACTGCTATCATTGTTGAGTACATTTAGGGACAGGGGCAGCCTGTGGGGCTGTGATGACCAGGGGGGGCAGAGGGGGGGGGGGGCTGACCAGGGGGAGGGGGGGCATGGGAGTCAGGAGGGACCAGTTGTGCAGGGGGATGATAACCACAGTGGGATGGTTATCATCCCACTGTGGTTATCATGTGAGGCTGGAGACAGAGGGAGGACAGCATGGCGGCTCACTGGTAGGTCCAGGTCAATACTTTCCTCTATATCTGTCCTGGAGTTTTATTTTATTTTCCTGTTGTTCACCTCGGCTGTTCCAGTGATGGAGAACGGGACCAAAACAGGTTGGGGCCAGATTCACGAAGCAGTTACGCAAGCACGAACGAACGTGTACATCTTTCCTCAGTCTTTGACGGCTCTGGTTACATTTATTAAACAGTTTACAAGCATGAAAACTTGCCAATCAACTGTTGTTATTGTTATAAACAGCCTCCTGGTGCTTCGGAGCTCATTAACTGTTTAATAATTGTAAACAAAGCCGCCAAAGATTGAGAAAAGATGTACAGGTTCGTAAGTGCTGGTGTAACTGCTTCGTGAATCTGGCTCCTGGGCTCTGTTATTCCAGTTACACGGCCCAATTTCGTGTCTTGCCACGATATCAACTATTTGCGAATTAAACATCTAAGCATTCAAACTTTCTTCTGATTTCATCTTAAAAAAAATCAAAAGAAAGTATTTTCTGCATCGATATCATTTCTACTTCAAATAATTATCGCAATATCACTCTTCTATGGTTATTTCGTTTGGCATCCTGATACCTGTCCTCCATCCTGATACCTCTCCCCCATCCTAATACCTCTCCCCATCCAAATACCTCTCCTCCCATCCTAATACCTCTCCCCATCCTAATACCTCTCCCCCCATCCTAATACCTCTCCCCATCCTAATACCTCTCCCCCCATCCTAATACCTCTCCCCATCCTAATACCTCTCCCCCCATCCTAATACCTCTCCCCATCCTAATACCTCTCCCCCCATCCTAATACCTCTCCCCATCCTAATACCTCTGCCCCCATCCTAATACCTCTCCCCATCCTAATACCTCTCCCCCCATCCTAATACCTCTCCCCATCCTAATACCTCTCCCCCCATCCTAATACCTCTCCCCATCCTAATACCTCTCCCCCCATCCTAATACCTCTCCTCCATCCTTATACCTTTCCCCCCATCCTAATACCTCTCCCCCCATCCTAATACCTCTCCCCCCATCCTAATAACTCTCCCCCCATCCTAATAACTCTCCCCCATCCTAATACCTCTCCCCCCATCCTAATACCTCTCCCCCATCCTAATACCTCTCCCCCATCCTAATACCTCTCCCCCCATCCTAATACCTCTCCCCCATCCTAATACCTCTCCCCCATCCTAATACCTCTCCTCCCATCCTAATACCTCTCCCCCATCCTAATACCTCTCCCCCATCCTAATAACTCTCCCCCATCCTAATACCTCTCCCCCCATCCTAATACCTCTCCCCACATCCTAATACCTCTCCCCCATCCTAATACCTCTCCCCCCATCCTAATACCTCTCCTCCCATCCTAATACCTCTCCCCCATCCTAATACCTCTCACCCATCCTAATACCTCGCCCTCCATCCTGATCCCTCTCCCCCCATCCTAATACCTCCCCCAATCCTAATACCTCTCCCCCCATCCTAATACCTCTCCCCCCATCCTAATACCTCTCCTCCATCCTTATACCTCTCCCCCATCCTAATACCTCTCCCCATCCTAATACCTCTCTCCCCATCCTAATACCTCTCCCCCATCCTAATACCTCTCCTCCATCCTTATACCTCTCCCCCCATCCTAATACCTCTCCCCATCCTAATACCTCCCCCCATCCTAATACCTCTCCCCCCATCCTAATACCTCTCCCCCATCCTAATACCTCTCCTCCATCCTTATACCTCTCCCCCCATCCTAATACCTCTCCCCCCATCCTAATACCTCTCCTCCATCCTTATACCTCTCCCCCCATCCTAATACCTCTCCCCATCCTAATACCTCTCTCCCCATCCTAATACCTCTCCCCCCATCCTAATACCTCTCCCCATCCTAATACCTCTCTCCCCATCCTAATACCTCTCCTCCATCCTTATACCTCTCCTCCCATCCTAATACCTCTCCCCCCATCCTAATACCTCTTCTCCATCCTTATACCTCTCCCCCCATCCTAATACCTCTCCCCATCCTAATACCTCTCCCCCCATCCTAATACCTCTCCCCCCATCCTAATACCTCTCCCCCCATCCTAATACCTCTCCTCCATCCTTATACCTCTCTCCCCATCCAAATACCTCTCCCCATCCTAATACCTCTCTCCCCATCCTAATACCTCTCCCCCCATCCTAATACCTCTCCTCCATCCTTATACCTCTCCCCCCATCCTAATACCTCTCCCCATCCTAATACCTCCCCCCATCCAAATACCTCTCTCCCCATCCTAATACCTCTCCCCCCATCCTAATACCTCTCCCCATCCTGATACCTCTCCCCCATCCTAATACCTCTCCCCCCATCCTAATACCTCTCCTCCATCCTTATACCTCTCCCCCCATCTTAATACCTCTCCCCATCCTTATACCTCTCTCCCCATCCTAATACCTCTCCCCCCATCCTAATACCTCTCCCCATCCTAATACCTCTCTCCCCATCCTAATACCTCTCCCCCCATCCTAATACCTCTCCCCCCATCCTAATACCTCTCCCCCCATCCTAATACCTCTCCCCATCCTAATACCTCTCCTCCATCCTAATACCTCTGCCCCCATCCTAATACCTCTCCACCCATCCTGATACCTCTCCTCCCATCCTAATACCTCTTCCCCATCCTAATACCTCTCCTCCCATCCTAATACCTCTCCCCATCCTAATACCTCTCCCCCCATCCTAATACCTCTCCCCCCATTCTAATACCTCTCCCCCCATCAAAATACCTCTCCCCCATCCTAATACCTCTCCTCCCATTCTAATACCTCTCCTCCATCCTAATACCTCTCCCCCCATCCTAATACCTCTCCCCCCTCCTAATACCTCTCCCCATCCTAATACCTCTCCCCCCATCCTAATACCTCTCCCCTATCCTGATACCTCTCCCCCCATCCTAATACCTCTCTCCATCCTAATACCTCTCCCCCCATCCTAATACCTCTCCCCCCATCCTAATACCTCTCCTCCATCCTAATACCTCTCCCCCATCCTAATACCTCTCCACCCATCCTGATACCTCTCCTCCCATCCTAATACCTCTCCCCCCATCCTAATACCTCTCCCCATCCTAATACCTCTCCCCCCATCCTCATACCTCTCCCCTATCCTGATACCTCTCCCCCCATCCTAATACCTCTCCCCATCCTAATACCTCTCCCCCCATCCTAATACCTCTCCCCCCATCCTAATACCTCTCCCCCATCCTGATACCTCTCCCCCCATCCTAATACCTCTCCCCCCATCCTAATAACTCTCCACCATCCTAATACCTCTCCCCCCATCCTAATACCTCTCCCCACCATCCTAATACCTCTCCCCCATCCTTATACCATAACTCAAGATGTTACCTTCACTTTCCAATCTCTCAACTTCTATTTCCGGCTCTGTTTTCATCTCTCTCTTATTTCATCTCTTTAAAAGCCTCCAGAGAACTATTTCTGTCTCCCATCTTGTCGTCCGGTTTCTTATGATTTCCTTTTGTTAAAGAAACATTTCTCCTTCCATTTATTCCTCATTTCCACACATTCCTTTTTTATCCTCTCTACCTTCTTACCCCTCTCGTTGTGTGGTCCAGGGCCATATGATCCGTGGTTCAGGGCCATATGATCCGTGGTCCAGGGCCATATGATCCGTGGTCCAGGGACATATGATCCGTGGTCCAGGGCCATATGATCCGTGGTCCAGGGCCATATGATCCGTGGTTCAGGGCCATATGATCCGTGGTCCAGGGACATATGATCCGTGGTCCAGGGCCATATGATCCGTGGTTCAGGGCCATATGATCCGTGGTCCAGGGACATATGATCCGTGGTTCAGGGCCATATGATCCGTGGTCCAGGGCCATATGATCCGTGGTCCAGGGACATATGATCCGTGGTTCAGGGCCATATGATCCGTGGTTCAGGGCCATATGATCCGTGGTTCATGGCCATATGATCCGTGGTCCAGGGCCATATGATCCGTGGTTCAGGGCCATATGATCCGTGGTTCAGGGCCATATGATCCGTGGTTCAGGGCCATATGATCCGTGGTTCAGGGCCATATGATCCGTGGTTCAGGGCCATATGATCCGTGGTTCAGGGCCATATGATCCGTGGTTCAGGGCCATATGATCCGTGGTTCAGGGCCATATGATCCGTGGTTCAGGGCCATATGATCCGTGGTCCAGGGACATATGATCCGTGGTCCAGGGGCCATAAGATCCGTGGTTCAGGGCCATATGATCCGTGGTTCAGGGCCATATGATCCGTGGTTCAGGGCCATATGATCCGTGGTCCAGGGCCATATGATCCGTGGTTCAGGGCCATATGATCCGTGGTTCAGGGCTATATGATCCGTGGTCCAGGGCCATATGATCCGTGGTTCAGGGACATATGATCCGTGGTTCAGGGCCATATGATCCGTGGTTCAGGGCCATATGATCCGTGGTCCAGGGACATATGATCCGTGGTCCAGGGGCCATAAGATCCGTGGTTCAGGGCCATATGATCCGTGGTTCAGGGCCATATGATCCGTGGTTCAGGGCTATATGATCCGTGGTCCAGGGCCATATGATCCGTGGTTCAGGGACATATGATCCGTGGTTTAGGGCCATATGATCCGTGGTTCAGGGCCATATGATCCGTGGTCCAGGGACATATGATCCGTGGTCCAGGGCCATATGATCCGTGGTCCAAGGCCATAAGATCCATGGTCCAAGGCCATAAGATCCATGGACTAAGGCCATAAGATCCATGGACCAAGACAATAAGATCCATGGACCAAGACCATAAGATCCATGGACCAAGGCGATAAGATCCATGGACCAAGACCATAAGATCCATGGACCAAGACCATAAGATCCATGGACCAAGACCATAAGATCCATGGACCAAGGACATAAGATCCAAGGACCAAGGCCATAAGATCCATGGACCAAGACCATAAGATCCATGGACCAAGGCCATAAGATCCATGGACCAAGGCCATAAGATCCATGGACCAAGACCATAAGATCCATGGACCAAGACCATAAGATCCATGGACCAAGGCCATAAGATCCAAGGACCAAGACCATAAGATCCATGGACCAAGACCATAAGATCCATGGACCAAGACCATAAGATCCATGGACCAAGGCCATAAGATCCATGGACCAAGACCATAAGATCCATGGACCAAGACCATAAGATCCATGGACCAAGACCATAAGATCCATGGACCAAGACCATATTGGTCCTTGACATTGTCACACTGCCAATGTTGTCATTGCAAAATGTACTCCTTAGGCCATTAGATGTTCCTAATTACCTTAACTCCTGCCGGAAACCTCATTAGTGGAGTGAATCTCGTGTCGCCATCCTCCGAATATGTTGTCCCCTCATGGCCTCATGACCACATACAGGCTATCCTCATGAGCATGTGGTGTGTGGCACTGTTTACAGTTCTACTTGGCCTCATGTTGCACGATATTATCTTTCACTGACCTGTGATTCTTGGTTCTAATTTAATTATGGTTTCTTATTTACAGTTTAAAAACACAAGTACATAAGAACCAAGTAACTGACCAGGCGTTAGAAAGGCGGGGCTAGGGAGCTAATGCTCGACCTTACAGGCGCATGAGATTAAACACACAGACACACCCACACACAGAAGAGCATGTAGCTGAGTGGATAGCGCTTGGGACTCGTAATCCTAAGAACCGGGGATCGACCCCCGGTGGAGGCGGAAACAAATGGGCAGAGTTTCTTTCATCCTGATGCCCCTGTTACCTAGAGGTAAATAAGTACCTGGGACATAGACAGCTGTTACGGGCTGCTTTCTGTGTATGTGTGGGGGTGGGACATGATCACCACATTCAAGATTCTCAAGGGAATCGATAGGGTAGATAAAGACAGGCTATTTAACACAAGGGGCACACGCACTAGGGGGACACAGGTGGAAACTGAGTGCCCAAATGAGCCACAGGAAGGTTAGGAAGATTTTTTTAGTGTCAGAGTGGTTGACAAATGGAATGCATTAGGCAGTGATGTGGTGGAGGCTGACTCCATACACAGTTTCAAGTGTAGATATGATAGAGCCCAATAGGCTCAGGAATCTGTACACCAGTTGATTGACGGTTGAGAGGCGGGACCAAAGAGCCAAAGCTCAACCCCCGCAAACACAATTAGGTGAATACACACACACACACACACACACACACACACACACACACACACACACACACACACACACACACACACACACACACACACACACACACACACACACACACACACATATTCATTAACGCACTCAAACGTAAAATTAAAACACAAAAATATTAATTACTGTAAGTTCTAAGTACCATAAATTTGACTCTCCGTTATCACCCAGGAGTAACAAGGTCCTAGCAAAGTACGGTCCGCGTTTCATTAGTTTCTAGTATCATAGGATTTCATAACCAATATATATATAACAACAACAACATTGCAAGTCCCAGCATTTACAACGTTGAGTAAACTGTTTACATCCCGTCCTGTTTACACTAGAGCCCTGGATACACTCAACTTACAGAGGTTATAATTTACATTTTATTTTACAACTTACTCCTACATTTACAGAGAGAGAACTAGGAGGACGAGGAGGACGAGGACGAGGAGGACGAGGACAAGAATGGCGAGGAATGTGAGCTACAATAACTGCAGCAGATGGCCAGGGGAGGAGGAGGAAGCGAGAGGTCTTCACGAGGTGTACAAGGCAGTGTTCCATGTGGTGTTCCCGGTGCTCATCACCGTCGGCGTCATCACCAACGTCCTCAACCTTGTGGTCCTCACTCGTCCCATGATGAGGAACAGGGCCTACAGGTCTGTATATCTGCTTCGTGTCTCTGTCTGCCTGTCTGTGGCTGCCTGTCTACCTGTCTGTGGCTGCCTGTCTGTGGCTGCCTGTCTACCTGTCTGTGGCTGCCTGTATACCTGTCTGTGGCTGCTTGTCTACCTGTCTGTGGCTGCCTGTCTACCTGTCTGTGGCTGCCTGTATACCTGTCTGTGGCTGCCTGTCTACCTGGCTGTGGCTGCCTGTCTACCTGTCTGTGGCTGCCTGTATACCTGTCTGTGGCTGCCTGTATACCTGTCTGTGGCTGCCTGTCTACCTGTCTGTGGCTGCCTGTCTACCTGTCTGTGGCTGCCTGTATACCTGTCTGTGGCTGCCTGTCTATCAACATGTTTATGGTTGTCTTCCTGTTTATGGCTGTGTACAAGCAGCCTTCTACACAGCCATGAAGAAGCAACTTTCTTCTGTGCCGTCGTCACGAGTCGCTCCACCTGTCGCCTAATAGAACGTCGCATTTTGACGTACAATCTACTTAAGGACAAATTTTGTCGTTCTAGAAAATGTTAGGAGCTCGCAAAATTGACATGCTGTCCCGTTTTCTGTTTTAGGTCCTCTGGTAGGTTGGGGTAAGGTGTTGTGAACCCCAGTATAGCCTCATGATTTAGGCTCTGTCCCAGTGTGAGAGTTATTCCTCACTTCGTCCTACAGAGGAACAGGAGAGGAGTTGAAATATGATTGTTATCGTTGGATGATACAGAAGCGGCATTGAGGTGTTACTGAGCCACTTAAGAGGGAGCCGGTCGGCCGAGCGGACAGCACGCTGGACTTGTGATCCTGTGGTCCCGCGTTCGATCCCGGGTGCCGGCGAGAATCATGGGCAGAGTTTCTTTCACCCTATGCCCCTGTTACCGAGCAGTAAATAGGTACCTGGGTGTTAGTCAGCTGTCATGGGCTGCTTCCTGGGGGTGGAGGCCTGGTCGAGGACCGGGCCGCGGGGACACTAAAAAGCCCCGAAATCATCTCAAGATAACAAGATAAGATAGCCATTCTACAAGGGGAAAGGAGCAGGATGACGTCATCGCTAGCCAATGAGGGGGGGGGAGGAGCTGGATGACGTCATCCCTAGCCAATGAGGGACAAGGAAGGACTGGCGTGTCGTGTACAGAGTGTTTATGACGTCAGTTGTTAGTGTGAGGTCAAGGAGAGAGCACGCAGTCCGCCGCAGCTGAGAAGACAGTGCAGTTCTTGCGATTTAGGGAGGAAGACAGCAGTGAACTGCGACGAGGAGAAGAGAGCGATTGGGGACTTCATCTGGACGTGTGGGAGCAGAAGGCTGGTCTGACGCCATGAGTGGGTGGCCGCTGGCCGCTCACTGTGGTAGACCTGAGACGTCTGGTTCACCTCGATGAGGTCTTGTTGACTGAGGAGCCGGGTTAATACCTGTGTATTAACCCATCACATAATTCAGAAAAGACGAAATCAATGGTGACAAGTGAATGAGGAATTTGTGGGCGACCTGGGAGAGATAAACTCCAGGCGCCATCTTGACTTTGTGGAAGCAGGCGTCGTCGCTCCAGTTAATTTACGGTACGAGCCTTTGATTGATACAGTTTGACTTGTACACTGCGATCCTGTGCCCAGTGATCGTATATCGATGCCTAGACACGTGAATTAGGCATGCATATAGCGATAATGAAGAGATATTAGAGAATTACGATGAAATTGCTTGAAGGAGGTCAGAGCAACGCATACTCGCACGACGGTGGTTGATCGTCAACTGACATTAATAAGTGACAGCAGGCGGGGGTTTCCAGTGTGGACTCGCCCGGCGGGGGAGTACCTTTCGCAGTACGCGATGAGAACCAGTTGATAGAGTGGAGTAATAAACAATTTATTTCAATTATTGTCTAGTCGTTCATGCAAGTAGATTATTTTGTTATGATAAGCTTGCAGGTTCGTTAGTGGTAGGTACAGGTTCAGACACGGTACCTGTAATGAGTTGACATCCATTTTGAGTACCAGTTGACTGACGGATCTACCCTTGAAGAGGTAGATACATCGACAGGATTTGTATTCTAGTCGAATATAAGAAACATTAATCCACAAGAATCGTTGGACGTCTGTTTGTATGAGATCATTGTATCAGTACACTAGACGCAGTGAATGGAGGCGAGAGTGTTCAGTCTTCTGTTTTGATTTATATGCCAAAGGCGATGTTTGTTGATGACTAGGCAACCGGTGCCCACCAGGACTGACGCAGGAGGAAACGGTAGCCTAGTGAGGTACATGTTGATGACTAGGCAACCGGTGCCCACCATGACTGACGCAGGAGGAAACGGTAGCCTAGTGAGGTACAATTTGAGGCACAGAAACTATGAAAGAAGAACAACAATTATTGAAGCAGTTATCTATTAACTAAACACTCTATTCTTAAGCAGTTGCTTGTTCTTTGATTGTTGGAGTTATGGGTGTTCTCGATGATTAGTGATTATAGCAAGGTTATTATTATTGTCGAGTTAATTGATAACGAATTCTGCATTGATATCATATTTTTATATTGACTAAGTTTAGAAGAGACAGTGGCCAAGTATATGTTGAATGCGGTCAACATATATCTGCAATCATTCAATATATATTATTGTTAATTTTACAGGTTATATCCTATGCTGTTAGTTTCATCCAAAAAATAATTGTTATAAAGTATACTTTATTTAGGTTCATAATATTATTAAATAAACCCTGAACTGAGTCCTTAACATTAATAAGCTGGAAAGTGGATATTATTAAGAAATTTTATATTTATTAAAAGGAAATCTCAGCTTTCTAATTTTATGTATCTCAAAATTTTTGTACACGTCAGCTATTTTAAGCGTTTTTATTAAATTTAGGCCACTCTGAAAAAAGTTTCAGAATAAGCTACAAATTACTAGGTAAGGTAGATTACCATGACCTGTCTTTTGACTTTTATAATATATCTAAAAATGTCTATATAATTAAAACAATTGCTGTTGTTTGCATTGTCTGTTATCATTAGTTCTGTATCATGACATATAAACCTTAGAATATTTTATATAATGCATAATTATAATTAACAATATTATTTTACAATATTTTTCCAGGTATAATTAGGAATTTACTTAATTTTGTGAAGTCAATTATTAAGATACAAACATTTATGAATAGTTATAGAATAGCTAACTAATTCAAGTTTATTTATCAATTAGAATAAAATATATAATTCTATATTTCTAATACATAAGTTGTTTATGATCGTTATATTTCATAGTTTATAATTTTCTAGGCTGACCTAAACGATGATCATTTAGTTGGATCAAAATGTTATCAAAGTTTTAAAGAAATTGGTTAACAAAAAAACATTACTTATATATATATATATATATATATATATATATATATAAGTAATGTATATATATATATATATATATAAGTATATATATATATATTATATATATATATATATATATATATATATATATATATATATATATATATATATATATATATATATATATATATATATATATATATATATATATATATATATATATATATATATATATATATATATATATATATATATATATATTACTCTGGTCTTCTCTTTTCATATTAAAGCCTTTAAATAATACTTTCTTACATCTCCAACTATTCCATCTGGGTATATATGTGATCATGTTTAAGAACTAACTACCACTGCACAATGGTTGTTAAGGCCGTGACAGCTGCTCAGTGACCCTCTAGCGAGTATGTTGACCAGACCACACACTAGAAGGTGAAAGGACGACGACGTTTCGGTCCGTCCTGGACCATTCTCAAGTCGATTGTGTTGGAGAAGGTACGGGACAGTCGACTTGAGAATGGTCCAGGACGGACCGAAACGTCGTCGTCCCTTCACATTCTAGTGTGTGGTCTGGTCAATATACTTTAGCCACGTTATTGTGACTCATTACCTCTAACGAGTATACTGGATTCCTTCTCCTCCCCAGCAATATTTAAAGAACGGGAGGGAGGTACATATACAAGGTTTCAATAGGAGTTTACTGGCCGGCAAGTATTATTTATTCCTAAATGTGGACTACACGGTGAATAACTCTCGCATCTGCCGCAGGGTACTTTACATAGGACTGTGAAACCATAACACAGCCTGTTTGTGACTGCTTATAATCTAAATGTTTTTGACTGTCTGTCTGTCTGTCTACCTGTTTGTTGCTTCCTGACCGTGTACATGTTTGTGTCTACCTATCTGTCTACCTTTTTGTGGATATCTGTCTGTCTTACCAGTTTTTGGCTGCTCGTTTACCTATCATATTTACCAACTGTGAGAAGGATATGAAGGGGTGGTAAGGTAGGGAGGATGAGAGGCAAGGTTGTCACAGCCTAACTTATCGGTGGTGTTGCAGGTGGCTGCGGTGCCTGGCTACGGTGGACATCATGCTCTACCTGCTCACCATCCCCGTGTGTCTGGCCATGGGCGGCCACGGACCCACCACCCACACCCTCGCCTTCTACTACGCCCACTTCGGGTGGGCGCTCAGCATATCCTCGCAGATCCTCAGCTTCTACCTGATGAGTTGGTTCGCCTACGACAGGTTCCTGGCCGTGTGCCGCCACGACAAGTACCCCGACAGCCAGAGGGCGCTGGTGTTCGAGTGGCGGGTGGCGGGAAGCCTGGTGTGGGTGATGGCACTGTACGCCCCCACGGCGGCAGTGGGGCAGGTGTGCCAGGTGGCCGAGGGCTGGGTGCCACTTGACGGCTACACGCTGGGTATGGGTAAGGTGTGGTATCGAGGGTACTCCTGGGTACGGGAGATATTCTCACGGGTGGCGCCCGCCGCCGTCCTCACTTTCTGCAACGTGAAGATCGCTTACCGCCTGAAGCACCTGCGCAGCATCCGTGACAGCTTCGGCAGCGGCGTCCCCCCCGCCAGGCGGGAACGGGAGAGACGCCTGGTGCTGCTACTCTTCTGGGTGACGGCGTTCTTCTACCTCTACAACACGCCCGTCACCATCTACTACTTGGGGTTCCTGAACTACAGCCAGAAGCACACCTACTCCCTCCTCACCTTCGGCGCCATCAGCAACATGCTACAGATGATGGGCAACATCTCCAATTCCATTCTTTATTTCCTCATCAACCCAGACTTCCAGCGCACTCTACGGGCCCTCCTGCACCTGAGGGTCCCTCCGGGCGCCAGGGACCAGGGCCGAGACAGCATCAGGTCCCAAGGTTCCTTCAAACTCAAACTCGGAGTTAGTCTTGGCCTCAACGGCAACAACCAAATTGATTCTGGACTTCAGCCCGACCTGCCGCCTCCTGCCACTCCGGTCTACAGGAGTTATAACTCTTAACATTACCAACACCAGAGGGTCAAGTGTGTGCAATGAGAGACGTCTGCCCAACCGTCTCCTGCCCCCAGGCACTCTTACGGTGAGGGTCGGAGTCTGAGGACACACACACGGCTCCTGGGAACTGGGGTCCTTCATGGTGTCGCATGACAAGACCATCACAGTGCTGAAGTTGTTAATGCCGGCCAGAAACTGGTGTCCAGTATTCCCTGATTGATCTCTGCGCCTCATCAATCGGTGATGCTAACTACTGCACCACGGTGCTGTGTGTGGGGAAGTCAGTCACTCTCTCACTGGTCAGGAACACAGCAGATCAAACCCCAAGATCAGTGGAACACTCAACATCGACAGATATAATTATTTACTCGAATCAAAGATCAATTGAGTCCTTAGGCTATGACGCAGGTTAACAGTATCAATGGCGCACAGAATCAAATTGAGTCCAACATCAAGTGACGTTCAGAATTAAATAAAAACAAAGGCACTGTGTTCTGTTAATATAGCCCTTTAAACTTTCTAAGTTCTGACACATTTCTGGCTAATATCAACTAAAAAGAAGATAAACAGTTTTATATTATAAAAAAATATTAGTAATTGTGATATCATTATCAAAAACATTTAATGAAAATAATGAATACGAGGCTGTAATTGATAATTTTCTTCACAAACTCTCTCTGTATACATTGCATTGCCTTTTATTTTCATGAGAATTTAAATGTTGATCCAATTTTCAAGACCTGACATCAATATTAAAAATTAATTTATGTGAAATTATTTTTATCCAAGGTAGTATATTGAATATTTGTTTAAGTTTTTCTAGTTTACATATTTTTATCTCATTCGCAATGAAGACATTTATTTGGTCTTTTTTGAAATATATTAGAAATCCCGAGTACCAAGTCGATCAGAAATGAAGACCTGAGCCTGAGAACGCTGGCTAGTGGTCTAGCACGTGTTTACATGCAGGTGTTTAAAGGAAAAACACCTGCGGGGTGACGTGCACTACCAAGGAGACACCCTGGCGAGCCAACACGCGTAATAACAGCCTGGTGTAACACAACTTATCTGAGGCTAAATAATGCTGTCATTTTACAATTAATCTTTTAATAATGAATGAAACTGTCTAAATTTAGCCTAATAAAACTGCCCAGTGATGTTCATTAATTAAGATATATAAACTTTATAACAAAGTCTTGAAATAGATTTTTAGTCTGTAGCTAAGTATTTAAAATTCTATGCTAATCATACATGTAAAAACTCGCATATTTGTAAAACATAGAATATCAGTGTTCGAAATCATTAATATCCGGCGCCAATGAACATTTGTACTTCATTAGCGAAACTTCGGGTAACAGGAGAACAAATTGTATCATCACTGCGGTCCTGTTCAGCTATTGGTCAAAACTAAACAAAAGCAGAGCATTAATGCGCACCTGGGCGCACTGATAATTGGGGCATGTTTTAGTGTTGATATTACCGTCAATCCAGTATTCTAATATTGTATTAATTCAAATAATTCACTGGAATATAAATAATATAATACACTTTTGTAAATAATAATCAATTAATTTTTATCATTTGTTGTTGTTGTTGTTTTAGATTCAGCTACTGGGAACAAAAAGTTGTAAGTAGCACGGGCTATGGTGAGCCCGTAGTGGACTTACCTGGTACAGGAGCGGGGTAAGTTAGAAATATGTGTAGAATAATAAACTCCACATTGTTAGAGTTAGGGAAACACTATTTCTCAAATATTGATACTGTTCTTATAACATTCCCCATTTTGCACCCGCAAGATAATGTAAGATTTTAAGGGTTGTCAGATGTTAATCTTCTTGTTTGAGGAGCTGTTCACTTGAGACAGTTAAGCAAGTCCCAGCTGTGTCTGGGTACAAGTGACAGGATGAACAACCCAGCGGGTTTTCTTCCTATTGGGGAGTGTTGTACATGCTGCTATGGCGGTGTGTCCACTCACAGGATGAGTGGCGCTGCCCAATACTGTCACTATGGCGGTGTGTGGATGAGCGGCGCTGCCCAATACTGTCACTATGGATGTGTCCACTCACAGGATGAGTGGCGCTGCCCAATACTGTCACTATGGCGTTGTGTTTACTCACAGGATGAGTGGCGCTGCCCAATACTGTCACTATGGCGGTGTGTCCACTCACAAGATGAGTGGTGTTGCCCAATAAACTCGCCCCTCGGGGCAAAATTTAAAAGTAGCACGGGCTATGGTGAGCCCACAGTGGACTTACCTGGTACATGAGCGGGGCTGTAACTTGTGTATTTTGTCGATTATTTCAGTGTATTGAGTTTTCACTGCATTCTACAATGTTCTATATTGTGTTGTATTGTTATTGTAAAAATATATTGTTTTTTATATAAAGTATTTTATCCTATGTATTGATTTTCTTGCATTTCAAACACCATTGTTACAGATAATACAGTTGAATTGGCAGCTGGTAAACAAATACAATATTTGGGTTAGGTATATAATTTCGACTCAACTCCCCAACAGGAAAAGTCAAAGCAAATGAAAATAATGCTCCAGGTCCACCACGCCCCAAGGGCTGAACACCAGAGGACAGGAAAGCCTCACTGAGCCACAGGGGTTTCACATGCCACCCACAACAGCCCTCTAGGTCATCACAGCACGTTCATCCCTCCACCAACTGAAGCTCCCAGTTTCCAGGAAGAACTTGAGGCAGAAAGCAACTTAGAGTTATATCTCGTCACTAAAGGTGTGACCGTCATCAACTTGTTCACAAAAATAACTTGATACTATAATTGGCATTGTTACTTACGACACTAATAACAGTAATTAATATAATTCTTATTTGCTTACAATATTATTATTACTTTTAATTTCATAATTATTTTTATTAGGATTCTTATTATTAATATTATTATTGTTATATTGTTACAAGCTCTTATCTTTATTTGTTTCTCATTTGTTATTATCATTCTTATGAGAAAATTTGTTGGAGCAATGCGGGGATTCGAACCCTCGATCAGGGAACTCCCGAGTCCCTCTCCTTACCTCTAAATCTCCTAAATTGCTCCAACTGATTTTCTCATTAACATATCACATTAGTGTAATTTCCTTGTGTTTTCGTAAATATATATATATATATATATATATATATATATATATATATATATATATATATATATATATATATATATATATATATATATATATATATCTACTGCTCACTTATATATAGTGAGTAGGAGAGAGGGGGGGGGGGGAGTGGCAGACAGTTGCTCTGTCAAATGACTTCCCAAAATGTACTGGAGTCCTTGTTAGTAAAATATTCCACCTAATATGACCTTTTCTAATCAACTTGACTGACAACTCTACCCATCTAATGGTGTAATTGCCTGTTGTCTTTGAACTAGCGAGACTGGAAGATTGTGTCTGATAATTACCATTAATTAGGGAGACATGACTCTTTGTATAACAATAGATAATTGTATAAATTAATAATGTGTGGGAATTTTGTCTTGGAATGAGAACTATCTTGAGGTTATCTTGAGGTTATCTTGAGATGATTTCGGGGCTTTATAGTGTCCCCGCGGCCCGGTCCTCGACCAGGCCTCCACCCCCAGGAAGCAGCCCGTGACAGCTGACTAACACCCAGGTACCTATTTTACTGCTAGGTAACAGGGGCATAGGGTGAAAGAAACTCTGCCCATTGTTTCTCGCCGGCGCCTGGGATCGAACCCAGGACCACAGGATCACAAGTCCAGCGTGCTGTCCGCTCGGCCGACCGGCTCCCTAAGTCACTAACCAAAAGAAAAAAACAAATTCTTTTAGTTCAACACAAGAGAAACTTGAATGAAAGTTTGACATCTGCATTAGAAGATAACTAAATAAAAAGGTATTGTATTGAGCCTTTCAACAAGTTATAATTATGATGACGTCAGCAGGTGGGTTAATAGCCTGTATTAGAGCAACAGATAGAGTAACAAGGTTGTTGTTGCTTGTTAGAGCAACAGATAGAGCAACGAGGCTGTTGTTGCTTACTAGAGCAACAGATAGAGTAACGAGGCTGTTGTTGCTTGCTAGAGCAACAGATAGAGCAACGAGGCTGTTGTTGCTTGCTAGAGCAACAGATAGAGCAACGAGGCTGTTGTTGCTTGCTAGAGCAACAGATAGAGCAACGAGGCTGTTGTTGCTTGAAGTCTTGGTTGTTGTTGTTGTTGTTAAAGATTTGCTACCTGGAACAAAAAGTTCCAAGCAGCACGGGCTATGGTGAGCCCGTTGTTGAAGTCTTGGGATTGGTACTCATTATATATCATGGTTCATAGTACACAAAACGTGATTCAAACATTTTCAAAATTGAATAATTCAACTGCATTGGCGAATTATCCAGATAAATCACCAAGTTATATAATTCTAGTTTTTCTAATTTTTAGAACGAAACGAAACGAGGAAAAACTAAACTTGATATTAATTTGTAATTTGTCTCTTTATAGCCATTTAGGAGTGTTTTTCGTAAATGAAATTCGACTATAACTACATAATTAAAAGTAAATAATTAATATCACTCGATACTTCACTTAATATCACTTGATTTTCCAAGGAATTCAATATTCCATTGTCTCTTAAATGCTGATTTTCAGCATATTTCTGCTGAAATATACTGAACCTGAGTGCCTCAGGTTCCTGATTGAGTACACTAAGAGTGCCTCAGGTTCCTGCTTGTGTACTCTGAGAGTGCCTCAGGTTCTTGATTGTGTACTCTGAGAGTGCCTCAGGTTCTTGATTGTGTACTCTGAGAGTGCCTCAGGTTCCTGCTTGTGTACTCTGAGAGTGCCTCACGTTCCTGCTTGTGTACTGTGAGAGTGCCTCAGGTTCCTGATTGAGTACACTAAGAGTGCTTCAGGTTCCTGCTTGTGTACTCTGAGAGTGCCTCAGGTTCTTGATTGTGTACTCTGAGAGTGCCTCAGGTTCTTGATTGTGTACTCTGAGAGTGCCTCAGGTTCCTGCTTGTGTACTCTGAGAGTGCCTCAGGTTCTTGATTGTGTACTCTGAGAGTGCCTCAGGTTCCTGCTTGTGTACTCTGAGAGTGCCTCAGGTTCTTGATTGTGTACTCTGAGAGTGCCTCAGGTTCTTGATTGTGTACTCTGAGAGTGCCTCAGGTTCTTGATTGTGTACTCTGAGAGTGCCTCAGGTTCTTGATTGTGTACTCTGAGAGTGCCTCAGGTTCCTGATTGAGTACTCTGAGAGTGCCTCAGGTTCCTGATTGAGTACTCTGAGAGTGCCTCAGGTTCCTGATTGAGTACTCTGAGAGTGCTTCAGGTTCCTGATTGAGTACACTGAGAGTGCCTCAGGTTCCTGATTGTGTACTGTGAGAGTGCCTCAGGTTCTTGATTGTGTACTCTGAGAGTGCCTCAGGTTCCTGATTGAGTACACTGAGAGTGCCTCAGGTTCCTGATTGAGTACTCTGTGAGTGTCTCAGGTTCCTGATTGTGTACTCTGAGAGTGCCTCAGGTTCCTGATTGAGTACACTGAGAGTGCTCCAGGTTCCTGATTGAGTACACTGAGAGTGCCTCAGGTTCCTGATTGAGTACTCTGTGAGTGCCTCAGGTTCCTGATTGTGTACTCTGAGAGTGCCTCAGGTTCCTGATTGAGTACACTGAGAGTGCCTCAGGTTCCTGATTGAGTACTCTGTGAGTGCCTCAGGTTCGTGATTGTGTACTCTAAGAGTGCCTCAGGTTGCTGCTTGTGTACTCACTCCGTGAGTGCCTCAGGTTCCTGATTGTGTACTCTGTGAGTACTTCAGGATCCTGCTTGTGTATTCTGCGAGTGCTTCTGGATCCGGGTTGTATACTCTGAGAGTGACTTAGGTACCTTCTTGTGTACTCTGAGAGTGCCATAGTACTCTATCCTCCCCCATACTACTGAGAACTTCTACTACTACTACTAAGGACTTCTACTACATAATTAGACACATCACATCCTCCTGTAAACGCAACGTTTCCCAGTAAATTTACATGGGATGTAAAGTCCTCGTACATTCAGAATTGTAATAAGGTCGTCTGGGTCGGCCCCAGTGCCATACTACAGGAAATTTCGCCATTTTTAGCGACCCCCCTACCACCTACGCTCTGCAATAGCATGCAGTTTGAAATTAAAGCTTTGTTTTCCGTAGAGTTACTTACTAGCAGTGATACATAGTAATCTGTATGAGTGTATGTATGTATGAGCCTGAGAGAGAGAGGAGGAATAGTTTAGCATCACGTAGCTGGAGTCTGACGCATTGTAACCCTTCACATAGTCTATAATTGAAGATATAGGCAATTAATAAGTTTATAAAGAAGAAAATAGGAAGCATTATATTTAATTTTCTGAGAGATATTTTAGAGGGAAAAGGGAAAGGGGAGAGAAGGAAATGGGGAGAGGGGAGGGGGGGGGAACGGTTAAGGGGAAGGGAACTATCAAGGGAAAGCGCCAAGCCATTACGACTATATAGCACTGGGAAAGGATAAGGATTTGGGATGGGACGGGACGAGGAAGTTGTGAATGGGAAGAGGTGAAGAGGGAGAAAGGTAGATGGAGAGAGTAGGAGGAGAGGAGAAGAAGGGGTAATACGGTGAGTGTATAATGGGAAGAGAGAGAAGGAGAAAGGAGGAGATAACATTCAATATTAGTCCACATGACAATGTACGTGTGTGCGTGTGTTCGCGTGTACACGCGCGCGCATGTACGGCTGAAAATATTATTATTCACATGCAAAATGGGACGTTCATTTCACACAGGTGAGAGAGAGAGAGACAGGTCTAGTTTCATCCACACAGGTGTGTGTGAGAGAGAGACAGGTCTGGTTTCATCCACACAGGTGTGTGTGAGAGAGAGA